CCAAACAAAGTAGTTTCGCTTTCACAACGAAAGACACGGCGGGCTAGAGTGAGCGGGGGCCGGTGGCTAGACTGAGCGGGGGCTGGTGGCTAGACTGAGCGGGGGCCGGCGGCTAGAGTGAGCGGTGGCGGGCAGCTAGAGTGAGTGGTGGCTGGCGGCTAGAGTGAGCGGTGGCGGGCTGGCTTGAGAACGGCGCGGCCGATCCGGCGATCCACAACGCGAAGTTGATGTATTCCCTCAGCGACCAGCACGGATCAGCTCTAGGCATGACAAAGCAGATATCGTCCTCTTTTGGAAGGCCAAACAAAGTAGTTTCGCTTTCACAACAATGTCTTCAACTGGGACCTAAAAACCTCTATAGACGAAGCCTGTCGAATATACAGGGGAAGACCGTTCCACAATTGTGGACCTACTACTGAAAAGGCACCTTTTGACTTCTTTTTGGACCGAGGAACAGTCAACAACGACTGATTTACTGATCTAAGTGACCTAGTCAATGTGTAAGACCCTAAGAGACCGCTAATATAAATTGGGGACAAGTTGTGTATAGCTTTAAAAATCAATAATGAAATCTTAAAATCAATCCTATACTTGACTGGTAGCCAGTGGAGAGAAGATAGCACCAGAGTAATGTGTTCCCTTTTTTTGTGCCAGTCAAAAGCCTAGCTGCGGCAAAAGATCAAGGCAAAATGAATTTCTCATGTCATGACCCATTTAAGGAAAGAAATATTCACCCTATTCGTGGCTGTGTTAAGATTTTTTTGGGGTGATATACAGAGGCATACTAGTGGGTCACATTCATTTTATTGTTTTGTGTAATTTCAAAGTACCATGTTCACATGCTTCAAAACAGAATAAAACAAAAACAGCATTGGAAAAGAAAAACAGATCTTACTGTATATTAAGAGTTAAGTTAACATGGAAATTGAACATGTTACTGCTTGTGTATCATTTGCTTCTCACTGCCTCTTGTTTTCCTCGCTGATCTTTGATCTCTTGCGGAACGTGAACTGTCATTCCGTCCATCCAGCGCTCCACAGTCACCTGACACCCCAAACGAGATCTGAGCCAATGACAGAACAGCAGCAAAAATCATTAGCAAAATGAACAAAAAAAAGAATGTGAATTTTTGCAGTATAGTTTAACTACAGCACTGTTTAGTTAGTATGTTATTATTTTGTATTTTAGAAACCATTAAGGATACTAAATAACTTCTAGCACATTGTTATGTCAAAAGTATATACGTTCTGAATAGCATCTAACTTCCTTGACGTTTACCTGCGCATTTGCTTCAATGTCTGTGCAAATAAAAGTTGGCATTTTTTGTTTTATGCTGAGGATGTAGTGAGAATGTAGCTGATTGAACTCATGTATGATGCATTTGATTGAGATAATTAACCTGCTAGCAATCCACTTCAGTTTACTTGTGCTCAGCTCAGTTCTATTTCATTTGCGCATTGTTGATATCTTACAGTACTCTTTTTCTTGTCATAATTCACCAACCATTTAAGTGAAATCATTTCTTTATTGTCTAAGATGCTGTGATTACAGACATCCCACTCTGCAAAAACTGATTTCAGGGAGGTAACATTACCCCCCCCCACCCCCAGCCATGAATAATACATGAATAAAACTCTTAAATTAAAGTAATGTTAGCACCAAAATCATAGCTATTGTCCCTTATCCATTTCATTTGCGTTCATGCTCAAACATAATCAACATACTCGGGGTGATTCATTCAATAGCATTTGCACATTGTGATGCAGAATGTGATGCTTATCGGAGACACATTCAAGATGCATGTATACAAGGTGGAAATGGTAACTGCATGTTCGCAAACAATTTGTTACTGGATCACTGAAATTGCATATTAATACCCTGGAAACAGGGCTTCCCTCTCTCTCACTCGATTTCCAGGAGTCTATGAGTTTCCCATTTGCGAGAGTCAGGGAGCTGCTATCAATATGCAGGAGACGGATGTCTGTGATTAGCACTGGATGAATCATTCTAAATCACTTAAAGCTCTACTGACTTTACAGTGACACTTTAGATCCAGGTGTCTTACGTCTTGGTGAGTCCGTAAGCCAAATCAAGCATGTCAACCTCTTCATCCACCATTGGCTCCAGTTTGTCATACACACTCTCCTCAAATATCAGGTGACAGGTGGAACAGGCCAGAGTGCCCTCGCATGCTCCTAAGACACACACACACACACACACACACACACGTTGAGTTTCGATGTTTTATGGGGACATTCCATAGACGTACATGTAACGGTTTTTATGTAGTACGAACTGTATTTTTTATCCCCTTACTCTAACCCTACCCCTAAACCTACCAGGATAAGAACAGAACCACATTTTTTATTGGTTTTTTTTTTTGCTAAGAATGCCAAAAACATTTTTATTCTTTTTATTCAAGAATGCAAAGCATCTAAATAAATAGGTAAACATAATTTCTGTACATAGTACCTTTCATATATATTAATGTTTGCACTGACAGAAATAATGATTTGTGGGATGATAGTAAAATATATATATGTAAAATGCAAAAAAAAACATAAATAAATTACGCAAATTGATTTCGTGTTTTAAGGTATAAGGTAAGAATATCACAGCAAAAATAAATAGTTTATAGGCGCAGTTGGGTATTCTCAATGTTTTTTCAGTTGTATGTGTCAGCAAGAGAGAGCACCTTCCTTTTGACAGCTTCGACAAATGCTACAAAGAAGTCATATGTGTGTGGGAGCTGGAAAATAAAGATTATGACACCAGAGCAAGATATAATCTTACAGAACTATTTATAAGTTAATATAAATGTAACATATCTACTGTATCTATATATATATATATATATCTGCAGTATATCTATCTATCTATCTATATAATTTTTTATGTAAGTTAAGTATAACAATAATAACAAGAAATATAACTTGGTTTTTAGAAGGAGGATCGGAACATAAAATTGATCCCGCACAGATCTTTAGATCCAATCAATTCTCAATAAACTGCACATTATCAAGTCCCACCCCAGATTTTTTATTCTGTTTTAAGAAGCTGTTTCAGTGAGATATATTTATATTTATATTTTATATTTATATAAAATATATAGATATAGGCTACATCACATCAGAGAAGAAAAGATGAGCATTTCTATTTCATGCTGACTGAAATTCAACATGCAAAACTTCATGCTGAAGTAAAAATGATTTTGTCACATGTAAGCCAAAGCAAAATGGTTTAGAATAAGTTAAATGGAAAACAAGTTGTAGGAACATCATTACTGACCCATGACACACACACACATTTAAAACAGATGGGACTTAGATTGATCACATGAAGCCAAAATAACACAAAAAAATGGTCTCATTACCAAAGCCACTGATGTCAAGATTCTTCTTGATGACAACGTCTAGAAGAGTCTCTCCCTCTGTGACAAACACACTGCTCTTTACCCCCGACTGATTTACAAAGTGCACCAGCACTTTAGAGCCCGAGGAACTGAGAACACACACAGATAAACACACTGAACGCATTATTACTGACGGAAAAAAAGACACAAAAAACAAGTAAAATAGAATTGTAAACAATGGATTGACTTGATGAGTCAAATAGTGTTAAAGTGAAAGTACAGTTTCTGAGCAGGAACAATGGTTATTTTATTATTTTTTTAGTATGCATTTTAAAGAGGTAGAATCTGCAGTGTTCTGCACTAATTTAACTCTTGATTACACAAGGATGTTGATTAGTTTGCAATCTCTTAATCGTTCATGTGCAAGGGAGGACCCTTATGATTGCTCAGTTAGGCATTAATGAATTGCCTGTAAATCACAGATAATGACACACTCAACGGACACCTTTGAATTTTGTGATCCCAGACCAAAAAAAAAAAAAAAAAAAATGGTAAATTTATTCATCGCACAGACTAGTTTTTTCGTAGCACGAAATATATGTCGCACTGTACAGCCCTGCATAATGTAAAATGAAAATAACTTGCAAAAGAATTTATTATAATTCACTACACATATCTTTCACTTGATAATCTCTGTTTTTATTTTTTTTACTAATCTTTAAATTTTTTTATATAATGTATATTATAGACCAGCATTTTCGAAATGTTTAAAACTGACACACCACTTCCAACGTCACGACTCGACAACTCAGGTAGCACGTGAGTACAACTTTCTGCTCCGATTTGTAATTACAATATTTATGACCCTACTTGAAGAGCACAGAAATTGGACTGACAAACATATTTTACTGCTGTACGCTCTTAAAAATAAAGGTGCTTCACGGTGCCATAGAAGAACCTTTTTGTCTAAATGGTTCCATAATCAACCTTTAACATCTGAAGAGCCTTTCTGTTTCACAAAAGCTTCTTTGTGGTGAAAGAATGTTCTTCCGATTATAAAAGGGTAAGAAAGACATGGTTCTTTAAAGAACCTTTGACTGAATGTTTCTTTGTGGAACCAAAAATGGTTCTTCTATGGCATCGCTGTGAAGAAACTTTTAAGCACCTTTATTTTTAAGAGTGTATGAGCAAAAGACACTTAGATCTAGTTTGATTGAGTCTGAAGGATGGCTGACACAAGGCTTTGTCTAAATACAGCTGGAGAGTCCAATCACGTGTCAGTAATTGCAGCTTTGTTTCACCAATGTGCAGGGTTCATGGGTTTTCTAGACCTGGATGAGCACAATCCTTCAGGTGGAAATACAGAATGGATAGGTGACCAGAAACGGCTGATAATAATGGCCAGCCTGACATGTAGCACTTGATGATCGAGACCAAGTCTTTGACACTGAATTCTAATAAATACTGGCGGCCTATCAGGAAAAGGAATGAGTAGAAAAGATTTTCCAGGATTCTGACAGCCCGGTCGTGTAAGAGGACCAGGACTTTAATGAGGAGCTGGGTGGAGTAGTTTTTCGAGAAAGGACTCATTATATTTTTGCATCATCAAAAGAAATTTGGTGGAGGGGGGTTTTGGCCAGGAGGGAGAAGACAGTCTTGTTGAGCTTGAGTCAAAAGCAATCGGTAGCCATCCAGTCTGATATGTCAAGGAATGCACAGATCTTTTCTCAGATTGCAGATGCAAAGGCAGATGGGGGAATGAGTTTGTGTTATCTGCGCAGCATGGATAGAAACACCATCTGATTACAGGCTGTTCCAAACAATCTGATGTGGGTGGGTGGAGAAGAAAAGTACCTCTGATTCCTGTGGAACCCCGGTGGGTTGATAAGAGTGGGCTATTTCACCTTAGAGCCTAATAAAAGCAAAATACTAAAGTAGATTTGCTGTTCACCACACAATGCTGAAGAAAGCAAATGTTTCATCTGTATATTGAATGCATTAAAGCTAAGAATACAAAGGTCTAAGGTCATGTGATGTATAAAATAATGAGTGCATTGAGAGCTAGTGATCTTTCAAAGAGATGCTGTGGGCAAAACATTTCCAAAGCCAATGCTATAATGAGCTGATTTAAAATTCCTTACACACGCTATTTTCAGGTTTTAGGAAATGCAGTGCATACAAAATATCATTTTCTCACCCTCATGCCATTCCAAACCAAAATGATTTGTATTATTATGTTGAACACAAAAGATTGGTTTTTTTTTTTTGTATGGACAAAAACTTTTCTTCATGAGAAACTATGTCACATCTCAGGTCAAGTTTACACTACTACTTGCACTTGTACACACGCACACAAACCTACTAGTTACTAAGAGAAATTACAGTTAAGTCATTCATTGCATACATCATCTATCTTTCATCAGAGAATGGCTGAATCAAACAAGAAGGGTATTATCAGAGTGTGATATGAAGTATAATGTGTTAGAATTTTCACTCAAGCAAAACATAACTAGTGACGTGACATGTGGCCAAGTATGGTTACCCATACTAGGAATTAGTGCTCTGCATTTATCCCATCCAAAGTGCACACACACAGCAGTGAACACACACACACACCGTGAACACACACCCGGAGCAGTGGGCAGCCATTTATGCTGCGGCGCCCGGGGAGCAGTTGGGGGTTTCGGTGCCTTGCTCAAGGGCACCTCAGTCGTGGTATTAAAGGTGGAAGA